GCTCTCTCTCCCCCCTCTCTCTCTCCCTCTCTTTTCCTCTCTCTCCCTCCCACTCTATCTGAACAAAAATGGAAAAGTGTCCTTGGGTGAGAATAAAATAAAAAAGAATAATTTACAGGAAATCAATAGTAGAGTAGATAAAGCCAAGAAGCAAACCATAGACTTGGAATATAAGGATGCAAAAAACACCCAATCAAAACAGCAAAAAGAAAAAAGAATCCAAAAACAAGGATAGCGTAAGGAGCCTCTGGGACAACTTCAAATGTGCCAACATTCACATCACTGGGATGCCACAAGAAGAGAGAGTGCAAGAAATTGAAAACCTATTTGAAACAATAATGACAGAAAACTTCCCTAACTTGATTAAGGAAACATATAAGTCCAGAAAGCACAGAGAGTTCCAAATAAGATGAACCCAAACAGGTCCACACCAAGACACATTATCATCAAAATGCAAAAGGTTAAATACAAAGAGAGAATCTTAAAAGCAGTGAAAGAAAAGCAGTTCATAGCCTACAAATGAGCTCCCATAAGACTGTCAGCTGATTTCTCAAAAAGAACTTTGCAGGCCAGAAAGGAGTGGCAAGAGGATATTTGAAGTGATAAAAAGCACCCGCCTACAACCAAGAATACTCTATCCTGCAAAGCTATCATTTAGAATCAATGGAAATATAAAGAGTTTCCCAGACAAGGAAAAGCTAAAGGATTTCATCACCGCCAAACCAGTATTATATGAAGTGTTCAAGTTCTTCTTGAAGAAGAACAACAAAAATGTGAATAATAGAATGGCAATTGATATATATCTATCAACAATTGAATCTACAAACAAAATAAGCATGCAGAACAGAAACAAACTCATAGATACAGAAAACTTTTGGTTGCTTGACAGATGGGCAGGGGCTACAGTGATGGGTGAAAAGGATGAAGGAATTAAGGAGTACAAATTGGTTGTTAGAATGGCGTACCTCAAAGGGAAGGGGGGAGGGAGGGCAGGATGAGGTAAACCAAAGAACTTCTATGCATATATGCATAACCAACGGACACTGACAATGGTGTGGGGAAGGCAGGAGGGGGGCAGAATTGGGGAGTACAGTGTCAACGGGGAAAAAAGGGAGGACATCTAAAATACATTCAACAATAAAGATAAGTTTTTTAAAAAATTCTTAAAACAATATAATTTAGGAAGAACCCCATCTCTGATTTCCACTTTGGATGTAGAAACCTAGTAGGCATTGCTGTCACCATAGCAACAAAAGCCTAATTGACAAAAAGGTAACTTTCTTGAACTCATCAGAGTGCTCAAGCCACAAGCAACTGACTGGCCTTAAATCTAGGGGAAGGGAGGTGAACAGAGTGCTGACTCACCTGTAGCACAGTATGAAGCCAGCACCACCTGACAGGAGGGTAAGATTTCTGCTACAATTTCTAACCAGTTGCTAAAGGCCAAATGTGGGCTGGTGTAAGAGTAGAGAATTAGAGCCTCAGACACAAGGGGAGTTCTCACCCGCTCACAGACTTTTCTTGGCCCACCACAATACACTCATGAGGAAGACTGAGGGTAGGGCCGAGGTGGGAAAAGCCTCCCTTCTCAGCCAGATCCATGAGTTTGTCAAGTACACGTTCTATTTTTCCAGTTACCACATTTTGCCAATGGTTCCTCCACCACGTAGCCTTTTCCTAACTTTTAGAAGCAGTTTCTTCATGTTCCGAGCCAGTAAGTTTCCTTTTCAGCTGCTTTCTTGCTAAGTTCTAAAATCAATTCCAGTTTACTTTTTGTTAACAGCAGCATCCTCTTCCTGATACTAACTTCTGTCAGTTATTGATTTCTATATAACCACCTCATGTGCTCATAATTCTGAGTCACCAATGTGAGCTAAACTCAGCCAGACAGCTCTCATGGTCTCATTTAGGGTCAGTCATGCAACTGCAGTCACTGAGTGGCTTGCCAGGGGCCAGATGGTCTAAGGTGGCTTCACTTGCATGTCTGTTGGTGGTGCTGACCATCAACAAGGCCCCCCTCTCCATGTGGCCTCTCACCCAGGAGCATGACTCAGGCTTCTTCACATTTTGCTCTTAAGTCTTTTTTTTGGGGGGGGGGGGGAGACGCAGCCCTCGTCCCCCCTGGGAAAGGGGACACCGGCCCCTGGCCCACGATCCGCCACCGCCCAACCCCATCCCCCGTCCCCAGTCCCAGCCCAAGCCGGCAGCCCTGGCGGGTCGGCGGGGTCGGCGGGTCGGAGAAGAGGCAGCCGGTCGCCAGGCGAGGGCGAGCCCAACGCCGCTGTGGCAGCCTGCGCTTCCCCCTTCCCCTCCCGACAGCCGGCACTGGCGCTGGCGGTGTGGGAAGGATGGGACAAACCCTTGTGTTGAGGGCTGACTTTCAATAGATCGCAGCAAGGGAGCTGCTCTGCTACATATGAAACCCCCACCCAGAAGCAGGTCCTCCAGGAATGGTTTAGCACCAGGTTCCCTAAGAACATGCCTTACCAGTCCAGCGAGGGGCCCGCCCCCTTTCCCGCCACTCCCTGTTGTCTCTGAGGACGAGGGGCTCTCCGAAAGGGACCTGGTCCCGAGGCGTGGGGGAAGGGGGGCAGCCGTGCCACGCGGGCCACCGGCGGGGACGCAGGACAGACTATCCCAGGCCAACCGAGGCCACCCAGGCACCGCGGCCCTGCCTATCATTCTGCCTGGGAGGTTAAGTCTTAACCACAGCTAAAAGAGGGCAAACCCCAATGTGTGTTTTTCAAGCCTCTGCTTCTGTCATGTTTGATAATATTCCACTGGCCAAAAAAATCATGTGATCAAGCTTATCTTCAAGGGGTAGAGAAATAAACTCCACCTCCTGATAGGAGAAAATGCATATTGAAAAGAGATGTTCATAGAGGGATGGGAGAAAGGTGAACCATCTATCACATCATTATTCACCAAAAACAAGTGTGAATTAGAACACAAGAAACCACTTAACCACTAATATACAAAAATTAAACTAATTGACTGTGGCATATGCTGTCAAGGATGCATAGCAAATGAAACTCATTCATTGATGATGGAAGTATAAATTATTTCAACCATTTTGGAAAACTGTTTGGCAGTATCTCCTGCAGCTACAGATATGCCTACCCAATGACCAGCAGTTCCACTCCTAGATTTATACCCAAAAGAAATGAGAACATATGATCACAATAAGACTTGCACAAGAACATTCACAGCAGCTTTATTCATAACAGCAAAACCTGGAAAGAACTCAAATGTCCATAAACAAGAGTAGAATTTTTAAATTCTGGTATATTCAAATGATAAAACATTACACAGCAATTTTTAAAATAAACTATAATGTGACAAAGATAAATTTCATGGACACTATATTAAGTAGGGGGAAAACAGAAACAAGAGAGAATACTGTGTAGCTTCATTTCTATGAACAGGAAAAACAAATGTATGGTGATGGAAGTCAGAATACTGGTTACCTCTAGGGATGGGGCTCACTGACTGGGGTAGGGCTCAAAGGAACTTTCTGAGAAAGAAAATATTTTATATCTTGATGTGGGTGGTATAGACATATGTAAAAGTCATCAAGTTGTGCCTCATCTTGCTGGGCCTTAGTTTCCTCATCTGTGAATTGAAGATAATAAAAGAAACTCCCTCAGAGTGTCATTGTAGGGACTAAATAACTTAAAAGATGCACAACTTAGGAAAATACTATCAATTAGTATTAAGCTCTAAGTAATTGCTATTACGATGATGAATGGTTGAATAGTCATTGCTAGGAAGAAAAAAATGGTCATTTTATAAGGAACAATTTGCTAGAAACTTATAGAACTTATAAAACTTATAAAATATCAGAAATCAGTTAATGTAATTTAATTGCCTCAAAATATATAAATTAAAAATTGACAGAATTACAAGATTTATTCAGCAATCCAGAATCATGGTGGGAAAGTGAAACACAGCTCTTTTAGTAAATGATAGATCAGAGACTCCTTATCAACTGAAGGATTGCATCCCCCAAAATTCACAGGCTAGTGCCTACCCCAATGTGATGGTAACCAGCAGTGGGGCCTCTGGGAAGTGATCAGGTTATTGGAGTGGACCCCTCATGGGTGGAATTAGCGCCCTTATAAACGTACCCCAGAGTGATCCCTCAATCCTTCTGTCATGTGAAGATAGAGAGAGAGAGAAGTTAGCCATCTGTAAACCAGGAAGCAGGCCCTCACCAGACATCAAATCTACCAATGCCTTGATCTTAAGACTTCCAGGATCCAGAACTATGAGAAATAAATTTCTGTTATTTATATAAGCCACCCAGCCTGTGGTATTTTGTTATAGCAGCCTGAACTGATTAAGACAGAGACCATTATTTATAAATGTGCAGAAGATTTTGAAACACAAATAATATGCTCAATCTAGTAGACATATGTAGAATACAATACATGGATTTCAACCACCATGAAGCATTTATAAAAACTGACCAGGCCCCAGCAAGCATGGCTCAGTGGCTAGAGCGCTGGCCCATGCACTGGAAGGTCACTGGTTCAATTCCCAGTCAAGGGCACATACTTGTTCAGGTTAGCTCCCTGGTCCCTGTCAGGGCTTGTGCAGGAGGCAACCAACCAATGTGTCTCTCTCACATTGATGTTTCTCTCTCTTTCTCTCTCTCTTTTTCCCTTCCTTCTCTCCCTTCCACTCTCTCTAAAAATCAATGGAAAAAATATCCTCAGGTGAAGATTAACAAACCAAAACAAACTGACCATATACTAAGTGCTTCAGTTAGAAACTGTATTCAACTGTAATAAACCCATCTCTGCCTTCCCCTCTCCACCTTCCTCCTCAAAAGAGCCAAAGTCATGTACCAGTAAGAAGTGCATTTAGCCCTGGCCGGTTTGGCTCAGCGGTTAGAGTGTCGGCCTGCAGTCTGGAGAGACCCGGGTTCGGTTCCAGCTAAGGGCATGTACCTCGGTTGCAGTTGGGCCGTGTGGGAGGCAGCCACTCGATGTGTCCCTTTCATGTCGTTGTTTCTCTCTCTTTCTCCCTCCCACTCTATCTGAACAAAATGTCCAAAAATGTCCTCAGGTGAGGATAAAAAAAAAGAAGTGCATTTAACAAGATATTCAGAAACAAACAGTCGAGGGCTAGTACGGACACATAAAGATACCAACTGGGGAACCAGAATAGTTGTGACTTCTGGCTACACTTTCTTTAGCCTGTGGCTTTTATCCTATGGTCACAGGATGACTCCTCTAGCACTGGACATTATGTCTGCTTGTACAAAAGGCAAGTAGCGGGATCTGGCTAACTGAAACCACACCTTTCCAACCTCTTTCCCAGGAGTCACACCCAGCAACTTCTTATACTGACCAGAACTGGGGACATGGCCTTCTTTAACTGCAAGAAGGACTGGGATATGGAGATTTTTTAATAGTGCACATTACCAATCTGAACAAAAAAAACCTAGGTTCTATTGTAGGGAAGAAAGGGCAGTTTTGGTAGACAACTAGTAAGATGTGCCATACTAGACCAAAAAGCAAATCTCAACAAATACCTGATTCAATAACACAAAGACCACCTACTCTGCTCACAATGTTATTAAATTAGAAACCAGCAACAAAAGCCAACTAAAAAACACCCAGATATATACAGGAACTTTCCAGAATGACAGAAATGTTCTATATCTTGAATGGGGTGTTGGTTACATGTATGAATACATCTGTCAAACTCATCCAACTTTTAAGATTTATGTATTCCACTATAATTATACCTATGCAAAAATATAATAACCCATGGTTATTTAAAAATCTAATTTCAAATAAGTCATGTATCAAAGATTTAATGATAATGGAAACTAAGACAATATTTAGAATCAAAAGTAAATCAGACATCATAACATGTGATGTAGCTAAACGAGTACTTTGAGAAATTATTGTAGGCCCAAATGATTATATTTTTTACAAACTGGAAGTTATTTAGCAAGAGGCCCACCAAATGAATGAGACACTGATAAAGGCATGCTGCCATTCCTAACATTTTCTCTCCTGGCGTGAATCCTTTTATGCACAGTAAGTGAAGAGCTGTGCCTGAATGCTTTCTCACACTGACTACATTCATAGGGTTTTCCTGTAGTGTGGGTTCTCACATGTACAATAAGGTGTGAAGACTGACCAAATGCTCGCCCACATTCCTGACAGGCATAGGGCTTCTTGCCAGTGTGGGTCCTTGTGTGTTTCCTGAGGGATGAGGGTTCACTAAAGGCTCGCCCACATTCCTGGCATGTGTAGGGCTTCTCTCCAGTGTGGGTTCGCATGTGACTCTTGAGAGTTGAGAGACGACTCAATACCTGACCACAAGTAGTACACTCATAAAGTTTCTCCCCTGTGTGGATCCTCTTGTGAACATTCAGATGGGTGCTTGTTCGGAAGGGCTTTCCACACTGGTTACATTCATATGGTTTCTCTCTGGTATGAGTTCGCAGATGAGTCTTCAGTGATGAATGTTCCCTGAAGGCTTTCCCACACTGACTGCATTCAAAGGGCTTCTCTCCAGTGTGAGTTCTCACATGGCTCCTCAGAGAGGACGGCTGATTAAAAGCTTTCCCACAGTCCTTACATTCATAGGGCTTCTCACCTGTGTGGTTTCTCTGGTGCAAAATCAGGTTAAAGTTCCTCGTGAAGGTTTTCCCACACTGACTACATTCAAAGGGTTTCTCTCCTGTGTGAGTCCTCATGTGGCGCCGCAGATTCGAGGAGTACTTGAAGGCATGTCTGCATTCTTGACATTCAAAGCACTTCTCTGAGGTATGGGTCTTCTCATGCCTGATAAGGTCAGAGCTGTATCTGAAGGATTTTTCACATTTGTTACATGCATAGGTTTTATCTCCACTATGGATCTTCTCACGCACTATTAGGTTAGTGGTCTGAAAAAAGGATTTCTCACTCTCTTGGCATTCATAGGGGTTGCCTCCAGCATGAATTCTCTCATACTGAAAAAGCTGTTTGATGTTGTGAAAGGGTTTCCCAAGTTCATTATATTTGTAGAGTTTTTCTCCAGGTAGAGGTTGCTCCTGTCAATTAAGGAAAATGTGAAAACCAAAGATTTCATTACAATCATCGGCATTCTCCCCCAAGTAAATTGTGTGTAGAATCGAGACATTTCTATAACTGAAGCTTTTACCATTTTCGTTCGTCTGTACTATTTCTACCCTAAGTTCTGTCAAGTGGATGCAATGCCACAGAGAGCTATCATTTTCATTACTTTCATGGGGCTTCTTAGATGTAGACTTTTTCTGAATTGTATAAGGCTACACTAAATTTTAAATGCCCTATGTCTGTGTCTTATTTATGAACATGGTTGTGGGAATTCTATGAAGATGCATCTTGATTTACATTTCAGTTTTTCTCCCATTTCATCATGATATTCACAGACTCTCTGCCAAGAAACTGCTTTCTCCTGGGTGAGCACCCCTTGCCTTAATTCTCTAGTCTTATATGCTGTTTTTCTAACCAGCAACAACCCAGACTTCCTATTATAGAGGACCAAGAATAATCTTTGTGTACCTTACCCTTTCTATGCCAATGGATGAAATCTCCGCAAAAATATCTTGGTTAAGAATTGGCTCTTGGGGTTGCAGCTGAAGTTCTGAAATGAATTAAGGAGAGTGGGATTAAGTGTTCAGAGAAGGAAACTGTAGGATCAAGGTGACCAAAAAAGTAAGCTAGACACGTGTAGATTATTTTTTTAAATACTGAGCTTAACTATGGGAAGAAATGGTGAATAGAAGAAATGTATCAGAGAGTTAAGGAAAATTTTAAGGCATTTGGCTATGTGAGGAGTCATGTAATCACAGAAACAAAGGATAGAAATGGTAGATAATTTACTAAGGACAGATTCTATGAAGACTGCGACTGATGTTGAGAGAAAGTATTAACAGCCTTCAGTGGGGAGGAACTGGATAAAATATACATATGGAAATGCTAAATGTGAAGAGAAGGTAGGATAAATTGTTCTATGAAACCAGAGTGGTGTATCAGAGATAGAAAGAGAAAAAGGGAAAAGGAAAAAAGGTAAAACTCACTAAGGGAGCTCAACCAACAGCCTTCTCCATCAAAGGTATTGAAAGTATTTTCTCTACTGACACTTTCCAAATCTAACATTTCATCTTACCAATCAGAGCTGGTGCTCACTTGTTTGATCTGCCTGGCACTCACTTGTTTGGGCTCCTGGAAAGATCCCTCTGTCAGTGATCCACAGCTCTTCTCTTTGCTCCAAATAGGAAAAGGTACTGAGTTTGCATACTTGATCTCCTGTTCATAGGGAAAGACACATGGTGTGGGCAGACTGCACCTGCCATGAAACCAGGGCTGATATTCTGAACTCTTTAGGGGTGCTAGAGATGGGAGTAGTGAAATGAGCATGCCTAAATTCTGAGAGGCATAGCAGAGCTCTTTCACTAAAGAATAAGCTCCCTCACTGGGTCCCTGAGGACACTGGGACATTCCGGTCCCCAAAACCTAGGGCCTAGCTCAGGGATGTATTTAAAAAGCCCAGAAACAGCAGATAGATCTTCACATCCATGGGAAAGCCGCTAGACTATAAGCCCCATGATGGCAAGATTTGTCTGACTTTTCACCTCTGTTTCCAAACCAGTACAGTTCCAGGAACCCATACTTGCTGCATGGGTGTATGGATGAAGCAATGAGACCAGCCTTACCCACAGAGGCAAGGTTCCTGTAGTTCTCCAGCATCACGTCTCTGTACAGGCTTCTCTGAGCAGAGTCTAGAAACATCCATTCTTCTGGGGTGAAGAGCACAGTCACATCTGCAAAGGTGACTGGTTCCTAAAATGCACACCCACCCAGGCTCAGTCAGGGGCCACTTCTGCCAACACTCAAAAGGATGGTGGGGGTTGGCAAGCCTAGGAATGAAGACACTGTGCGGAGGATTTTCAGTTGGAGTTCTGAGGTACCTAAGGATCTGCCCCTTGGCTTAGGCCTCAAAACTAAAATTCTTCTCTCTCCACTCTTCCCTCCCTGAGGAATAGCACCCAGAGTTATGGTGTTAAAGGACCTTAATTTCATATCAGGACTTAGCTATTGACAACTAGCCAGAAAGCCTTTGCAGTTTTATTCCCCTCCAGCCCCAGGGTCCAGCAGACCTAAGCATGTTGAAGGCAAGAGAGAAGTATTTGCTCCAAGAGACCATGAAGGTCATGAGACAAGGACAGCTCACATCCTTGCTTTGTTTTCCCTCCTGATGCTCAGCAGAACATGGCTCAGCAGTCAACAGCCTGGGGAAAGTCTGACTGAGGAATGGGGTCATTGCCAGGGCTATGTTCCACCCACTGCAAGAGACCCCATGCCTGGATTCCTGGAAATCATCCCTGTGGGCTTCCAGGCCATGAGATGGGGATAAGAGAGCAAAGCAAAAAAGAAAAGCAAAAAGGATCTCTCACGTACCTGTACACAGGTAGACAGCACGCCAGATATCACAGCTTCTTCCTCTATGCTCTCCTCCTGCAACCACACAGGGTCCTGAGCAGACAGAGCTAGAGAAGGGGAAAGCCGTAAGGCCCAATGAGCACACTCAAAGGACCAAGGGCTGCCACCCTGATAGTGAGTAACCACATGTGTACAAACACACAGTGCCCACACTCCCAGCCTCCTTCTCAGTCTTTTGTATAAGCTCCTCCTCCATCTCTCCTCAGACTAGCCTTCCCATGTTGCAGACCTTCCTCTTCTCTTTTCTCTTAGTACTCTCTGCCTCAGCTGGCAACCTGCCCCTCTGGACATTAATTCCCAACTCTACTTGACAAAGCCCAAATCCCCAGGCTGACTCACATCTGAACCCCAGACCAGATACCCAACCATTGGCTCCAATCTCTCCCCTTACCTATCTGGGGGAACAAGAATGGAATATCCAGCCCTGGCCAGCTTGGTTCAGTGGTTAGAGTGTCAGCCCGCGGACCAGAGAGACCAGGTTCGGTTACCACTAAGGGCACGTACCTCGGTTGCAGTTTGTGCCCAACCATGTGGGTGGCAACCACTCAATGTGTCTCTCTCACATCAATGTTTCTCTCTCTCTTCCTCCCTCTACCCTTCCTGCTCTATCTGAAGATAAATGCACACAAAAAGAAGTGCTTGGGGGAGGATAAAAAAAAAAAGAATAGAATATAGTTGGCCCTCGTTTATTGCGATTAATCAGTTCCAGACTCTACCGCGATAAATGAATTTCCACGAAGTAGGATTCTTTATTTACTATACAGTCATCCCTCGCCACTTCGCGCTTTGAATTTTGCAGCCTCACTCTATCATGGTTAGTGACGCGAAGTGGCGAGGGATAACTATACCCAGAATGAGCTAGAGAACAGGGCTGTCGCCCAGCAGGCACAGAACAGAGCCTTGAGCCACAGAGGATTATTCTCAGGCCTTGTGAACCTGCTTGGGACCTGTGACCCCTTTTTTCTCTCCCATTGAGAATGGAAATGTCTGTCCTAAGCCTGCCCCACCATTGTATTCTGGAAACAGAGATCTCCTTTTTGGTTTCATAGGTTCATAGATGGAAAGTTTGTCCCCAGACTGGACCACAAGGTTGAGTCTCATCCATACCTGATTTGGATGACTTACACGCTGAAATTTGGGCCTTTCTGAGTTGATGAAATTTAGATAAAATTTTAGACTTAGAGTTCATGCTGGAATGGGTAAAAAATTGGGGAATATTGGGATCACGTGATTGTATTTTTCATGTGGGAAGACATAAATTTAGGAAAACCAGAGGGCAGACTGTTATGGATTGGATTGTGTTCCTCAATTAAATAGGAAGTTCTAACTCCCTATACCTCAGAATGTGACCTTATTTAAAAATAGGGATTTTGCAGATGTAATTAGTTAACATGGAGTTACAGTGGAGTAAAGTGGACCTTTAATCCGATGACTGGTGTCCTTATAAGAGGAAAAGAGACACAGAAACAGGGACACATGAGGGGAGAAGGCCATGTGACAATGCAGGCAGACTGAACTGATGTATCAGCAAGGAACATCAAGGATGCCAGCAACCAACAGAAGCCAGAAGGAAGGCAAGGAAGGATCGTCCCCTCCAGATTTCACAGGAAGCATGACCCTGCCGACACCTTGATTTCACACTCTGTGCCTTTAGAACTATAAGATACATATTTCTGCTGTTTCATTGTCCCACACACACACGCCAAACAGACATCCACTCACCACCTTCTTCTCAAAGCCTATTCCTCTTCCAGTGTTTCTAATCTCAGGAAGTGATATCCCCACCTCAGATGAGGAATCTCACCCCTCTCTGACACTCGACAGACCCCAAAAATGAATCCCCCCTAAAATAAATCAGGAGTGACATCTCTACATGAAGCACCCACCTCTCCCCAACCCCACCCATCTATTTCCTTTCCTCCTAACCATGGCTAATGCCACATCACACCTTTCTCCCTCCTGGATCTACTTAATGTCACCCCCTCGTGACTCTGATATCACAACATGTCCTCCGCACTGTGCTTAGCACATAAATGCTCTGGATCATCTGACAAATCAATGTACACACAAGTCACCAAATTGGATCAACTTGACCTCCTACATGTCTTAGAATGAATGTTTCGTGCTTACCTACTGTGCAAATAGTTAACACAGCAGGCTTGACAGTACTCCTTAGCAAGGCCTGATGGCAAGGTTGGGCCTTGGCTGGGATCTGAAAACATGGATTTCAAAGGGTTCCCACCACCCTAACTAATGAGAGTAATTCATTCTGCTTAAACTGTTTGTAGAATGAGGTTTGTGCTGAATGCTTTCCTTCTACGAATCTAGGATGTAGGTATGTTCTGGGCAGAGGGGGCCTACATGCCCAGCCCTGAGTAAAAACCCTGGATGCTGAGTCTCTAATGAGCCCCCCTGGCAGACAACACTTCACACATGTTGTCCCGGCTCACTATGGGGAATTAAGTGCATCCCATGTGATTCTGCTGGGACAACGAAGTCTGGTTCCCTCCAGACTTCACCCCCATACACCTTTTCTGTTGGCTGATTTTGCCTTGTATCCTTTCCCTGTAATAAACCATAGCCATGCATACAACTGTATGTGCGCCCTATGAGGCCTCCGAGTAAATCACCAAACCTGGGAGTGGTCTTAGGGACCCCCACACCTATTTGACATTCACCCCAAGTCTAGGCTGCCACCATTCCATTCTTAACTGCCTTCATCCACCACTCACATTCTCCCTGAAGCCCATCATCCTCCCAGGCGCCGGAGGGTTCTACTAGAACCACAGGTGCACAGTACCACTCACCAAAATGCATCCCTAGCTCCCAGTAGCCTTAGGACATGAGCCAGGGTTCTTTCCACACACTTTCAGGCCCTGAATGATCTGGAGCCCACTCACTCTCCAGTCAGCTCACACCACTCTCTCCACTTCCCTCTGCCCCCTTCCCACAGCCACCCATGGGCCCCTGGGCACACCAGGCTCTCTCTCCCGAGGGGTTTTACAGAAGCTGTTTCTAGGCCTGACATACTCTCTCCAAACTTTCTCCAAACAGCATATCTAGCCAATTACTTGAAACAGTAATTATGATCTAATCCAGTGCTTGCAATTAACATTAAGATGTTATTTGTCTTCCAGACTTTTTTCCTCTATTTCTCAGGAAATTAGCCTTTTACATAATTGTGTAGTGAAGAATTTAATCTCTCCCAAAGAGAGGTCTGGCCTTTTGCCACAGCTGAGTAGGGCCCCGGCTCTTTCTGTTTGTTTGTTGGTTTGTTTTTGTTAATCCTCATCTGAGGATATTTTCCCATTGACTTTTTTAGATAAAGTGGAAGGGAGGGAGAGAGAAATATCAATGTAAAAGAGACACATCAATTGGTTGCCTCCTGCAGGACACAACCAGGGGCCAAGGATCAAATCTGGTGCCCCTGACCCCTTGACAGGAAACAAACATTCTAACTGCTGAGCCAAACCAGCTAGGGCTCTTTTTTTATCAATTTTTTGTTTAATCTTCACCTGAGAATAAGTTTGAGAGACAGACAGACAGAGAGAGAAACATCAATGTGACAAACATCAATAGGTTGCCTCCCATATTCACTCTTACTGGCAATCGAACCTGCAGCTTAGGTATGCACCCTGACCAGGAGTCAAACCGACAACCTTTTGGTATAGGAGGCAATGTTCCAACCAACTGAGCCATCTGGCAAGGGCTCTATCAATTTATTTTTATTACAATAGCTCCTTTGGTTAAAGAGCTTTTTATTATTATTATTATTGCTGACACTAAGGCCTGCTCTTTCTTAACAGAAAGATCTGAGACAAAAAAAAAAAGAATCTGAGGACTGTGAAAGTGCCTTTCCCCTTGAACACGTACATAACAAGAGAGGCCCTTGCGTATGCTCTCCGGACGGTGCAGGGCAATGCTTGCTGTCAGAGGAAATGAAGGCTGAGATGCAAGTTTCCATAGGGTAGCCAGGCCCTCTGACTGTGATTCCACCCAGTACTCACTCACCAGAACGCTTGGCGGCCCAGGGGTTGGAGATGCCCAGTGCAGGCTCCGACGTGGCCACCCTCTGAATCCGCACAGCTGCCTTCAGCGCCTGGACAGAGTGACAGGGACAGATTAGAGTCACACGGTGGTCGATGACATCCTCCCACACCTGCTCACTCTGACTATTGATTTGGGGAATAAAAGGACTGATAAAAGGACACACCCTGATTACCTGCCCAGATTTACCCAATTCTTCAAGACAAAGCTAATCACTGTGACAGAACTGCAACTCCAAGGATAGAGAGAAGGGACCCCCCGGGGGGGAATGAGCCTCCTCTGAGCAGCCTCCAGCCATGGGGGAAACGCCAAAGCAAAGCGGGCAGTGGGTGCCAGCGGACTGAGCAATAGAGGGAGGGTGTGGGTGAACCCCTGCAAATGAGGGGTATTGGGAAGTTATTTCTGGAAGGAAGCCCTGTTGTGGGAGAAAGGATTCGAATGCTCCTCTACTGGCAGCTGCTCTCTCAGGAAATGTATCTGACCTGACTTGCACTTCCAAGGGATGCCTCTGGCCTCCGTGACCAGGTTGGATCAGTGGAAGCAGGAGCCTGTTAGGAGCTGTCCCTGGGTTGTTCAGAACTAATGGTGACTCTGGGCAGAGTGGTAGCAGCGGGGACAGGAGGAACAGTCAGAGGTAGGTTATAGTTTGGTGAAAAAGCTCGCAGGACTTGGTGGTGGATGTGAAGTAAAGGCATAGGTCTCTCAGGGCCGGTGATGAGCAGAGGCAGGTAGGAGGCCCCTTCTCCTCAGGGCGGGGCACACCTTAAAGTGTCCCTCTCTGATACTCTCAGTCACCAGCCTGGACACTCCTCACCCAGCCCACAGGGTCTGCTCATTCTTATAGGTTTCCTGGCCATGTACGAGGTAGGTGTGAGGGTGGAAAGATCGGAGGAAGAAAGGTTGGACCAAGAAAGGCAAAGCCAGAGAACTAGCCCCTGCCACCTGCCACCTTCAAGGTTTGCCCTCCATGCAGAAATGCTAGGGCCTATTCAGTTCTTACCAGGAGCTAAGTCTGGGCCTCCATCATATTCCTAGTTTCCAGTAGTGGTCCCTAGATGCCTTTCTCCCTCTGGCCTCCTCATTTACAGAAATCCTGAACCCCAGGCCTTACTGGCTAAGGCCCCCACAGCAAACTACCTCCCAGGCTTACTGTGTATCCAGAAGGCCAAAATGACTCCCGGAGAGCTGGCCGGTCCTCTGGAGTTGAAAGTATCCCACTCTCTCCCGTCACAGGCCGGATCTGCATCCTCAGATCCAGCCCTGGCCCCTAAAAAAAGGCATGGAGAATGCTGAGCAGGACAGAGGTAGCTGAGGCTATTTTCGGCCTCAGAGACCCTCAGTTTAGAAATAGTGAAGTCAAAAGTTGGGGCACATGGATCTGGCAGTTTCAGACCAGATGACTCCTTTACTCCAGAGGGTGCCAGCCACCACCAAGGGTCTCCATGAGCAGATCATGATGAACCTGACCCCTTTCTGGTTCCGGGGGTTCCTGGCTAGAGGTTAGGCCACCTGCCCTTAGAGACACTATAGGATGTTTGACCTCAGAAAGGTTGGAAGCCCTTGGTTCTGAGTATTAACCATGGCCTGTGTTTTCTTAGAGTCTGTGTTTATCTACTTGGCATCCATCAATCATAGGGCCAAACTACTAGCTAGTTGTTTAAATCTCCCCTGCCACCCAGAACCACCTCCTTAGCCACCTCTCATACAAGCTATACTCTCCCATCCTAAATCACCCAGACCAGATACCAGACAACGAGGGACAGCTCCTGTGCCCAAGGTCCCCCAGAATTATTCAAACTCACCAATCGTGTTTATCCTGCCCTGTGGAAACCCTAGTAAAGGCTCTGACCTAAACTATTCCCTCATTCCTTTCTGCCTCCTGACTGACCCTGATGCTTTCCCTGTGCACCCCTATGTTGCATGGCAAGCCCTCTCCTCTTAGGAAATGTAAGTCAAAACAATATTTCTGTGGCATTGGCCGCTCCATATCATCACTTGGTCACCTCCATAAAGTAAATCCCCACAGGTATATTCTGAGACAAACATTTTCACAGAAGTTTTGACACAGATCACTTCTTTCTTTTTTTCTCTATTGATTTTAGAGCGAGAGGATGGGAGAGGGAGAGAGATAGAAACATCGATGAAGAGAACATCGATTGGCTGCCTCCTGCATGCTCCCCACTGGGGATCAAGCCCACAACCTGGGCATGTGTCCTGACTAGGAATCGAACCGGCAACCTCTTGGTACCTGGGTCAATGCTCAGCCACTGAGACACACCAGCGAGATAATCACTCTTCTTAAAAAAAAAGATTTTTAGAAGTTTAGCTTATTTGTTCAACACATACTCAATGGGCACGGCTAGTGTAGACACTATGAATTCAGCCAAGAACAAAAGAGGCCAGCCTTCAGGAGCCAGGGTTGTGGAGAGGCAGCGAAGGAAGACTGAGTCTGGAGATACCCTTTCTCAGTTTCCTTTGGGTCCTGCTGAGAGCAATTCCCAGCTCTCTACGTGCCTGCCCCTCCACTCTCCTAGCTTACCATGACAGGGAGATCGCAGGGCCTCAGTATGTCCCTGGTCACCAGCATTTACTCCCACATAAGAGGGAGGCCTCAGTGACTGGGACTAGGCTCAGTGACACAGGAATGGCCTGGAAAGGCTAGCTGAAGAGTCAGCACCATCAACCAAGTGGGGGGTTGTGTTATCTCACGTAGCATATCCTGGCGGCTGACATGGTAGCCTCGGGATTAAGCCTGGATTCAACACCCAGCTCCAAATCCAGCTCGACAGTTTATGGGCTATGTGCCTTCAGGGATGAATGGCTAAATTTCTCTACACACATGCCTGAAAGTGGATCTCCTCTGCCCACTCAGAACATTCTGTGACCTCCTGTTTCCTGGGGTTCAGATGCAGCAGGAGAAACCCCTCTTCCCCCACACTCAGTACTCACTACTGAGCCAGACTGGAGTTCTGTGGAAGGTGCTGAAGCCCCATGCTGAAAGCAAAGAGCCACAGAAACCAGGGAGGACCTGTCCATCATGGCATCCTCCCTCCCTTCCATGGTCCATCTGTTGATCAACACATGGGGACAGTAGGGGCCTAGAGATGCCTTCACCACACTGATCTGTTCATTCCTTCATTCAACAAACATCAATTAAGGGCTCTTTGACACAAAGAATGATCTGTAACGGGGTTAGTGCACCAATCATGTCAGATGAGGCCCCTGCAATCCAGCAGCTCCAATAACACATTTGCAGATCTCGAGTTCTCAAAAATCGCACACACTTTTCCAAGAAGCTACTGGAAGACATCCTCTACCTAAACAAGAATGTAAGCCAAGGACATCGAGGACCTGGAGAAAAGGGTCTGTTGCAGGCTGTGCAGGGTGAGGCTCTCTGTGCTCAGGGCAAAGCAACAGGCAGAGGTCTCTACAACCCAGGCCACACCATCTCATCAGCTGGGCCAGCAACTATGATGTCCAGAGGCCAACACCATCCATAACAAAGAGTAAGGTGTGCATATTGAGGGAACTCAGAGATCTCAATGACTCTGAAACAAGCAGGCCCAGCCCAGGGTTGAGGCTGGGCTCTGTGTATCCCTCTACCCAAACCCTAACCCTCAAAATACCCAAGAATGGGAACCCAAATTTTGGAAGCTCCCACAGTTTGGGAAAGCGGAACTCAGAGCAAAAGTGGGGATGGAGCGGCTCCATATGTATCTTCTCATGCACTGTAATGTACAACCTAGTTCTGAAGGTTCTTTCCTGCTTTGAAAAGGGCTTCTTTGCGGTCTGGGGTCTTGACTTGTTTCCTAAGCAGGGAGGGATCCCTGACAACTTTCCCACGTTCTACATAATTAGTGTGGCCCTCTCTCCTATGGGTTCTCTTGTTCATGTCCAGTTATGGTTCCTCCAAAAGCCTTTCCCACCACAGTTAAATCATCAGATACCTTCTCTCCAGGCCAAGTTTGCTCCTGACAAGGGGTGAATGATGACAAAAAGCTCACTGGCATCCATGCCACACCCAGGGACACTCCAATCAGAGGCCCATTTTCAGCATTTTTAAGAAGTACACCTTGTTTACTCAGGTCAAGTTCTTCGAGGACACTGAGGGCTCCACCACCAGGCTTTCTCACATTAGTAACTTTCCTAACAGGCAGCACTTTCTCAATGTCTGACTCATACTGATGAAAATGTTTACTTGAGGGAACCGTCTAGGAAGAAAGAGTCTTGACCAACAGGTGAAGTTTATCTAAATTAATGAGTCACAGACTGTGGGAATAGTCACAATCCCAGTTATAGTCACAGTGTCCCCTTAGACACTGAGGGTGATGCTCTTGAGGAAATGCCCTGGATCAAATGTCTCCCAGGCCCTGGGGTGCATTTCCAACTCATGTATTCCTCAACTTCTCCAATGAGAGGAAATAGAAGATCACCCCCATGAATCTTACCATTTGCAAATCATGGGATGAATTTTCCTTCAAAATATCCTGCATAGGAGTAGACTCTTTGGGTTTAGGTTGAGCTTCCCAGTCTAACATGAATTGGAGCAAAAAACAAAACAAAAAAAAATGTTTTCAGAAAGAAATGGTATGAAATTGACACAGAAAAAAATAATTTTTTTTTTAAATACTGACCCTAAACTTGGGGAGGTACTGAAAGAGAAAAAGGCATTGGTGAGCAAAGTGAGTAGAGTTGTGTATGGAATTTGGAAGTGACAGGAATGAGAGGGAAATGAGAAGCTATTTTTCCAAGCAAAAGATTCCATGGGGAGTGAGACTGATGTTGCCACAAAGAGAGTATTATAAGAGTGTTATAAGAGAAACAAGTAAGAAACAATTAGACAAAGAACATACACAGAACTGTTCAACTTAAAAAGGAACCGGATAATCTGGCATGGGTAAGATTGTAGATAAATCAGAACACTCTTCCACTGCTGGTGGGAACATAAAATGGTGCACCTGTTTTTAGAAAGCAGTTTGGTAGTTCCTCAAAAAGTTAAATACAGGGTTACCCTATGACCCAGCAATTCTACTCCTAAATATATACTCTAGAAAACTGAAAACATGTCCACATAAAATCTTGTACATGAATGTTCACAAGAGCATTATTCACATCACCAAAATAATAGAAACAACCCAAATGTCCATCAACATATGAATGGGCAAACAAAATGTGGTCCATCCATACAATGGAATATTACTGAGCCTTACAAAGAATGAAACACTAATACATGCTACACCATGAATGAATCTCAAAATCATTATACTGCGTAAAAAATGACAGATACCAAAGATCATATGTTATATGATTTCATTTATATAAAATGTCTAGAACAGGAAAATCCATAGACAGAAAGGAGATCAATGGTTGACACGGGCTGGAGGGAGTAGGGGAATGACTGATAACAGGCATAGGATTTCATTTTGAGGTGATAGTTGCACTACTGGAGTTCAGTAGTGGTGATGGTTGCACTATGTTGTAAGTATACTAAAAAACACTGAACTGCACAGTTTAAAAGGTTGAATTTTGTGGTTTGTAAATATCTCAATTTTTTCCAAAAATTAAATTTGGAACATATTTTTTTCTGAGACCAAAGAGCTAGAATGTGATAAAGAAGAAATGCTAAAACAACTCACTTGAGAAACTTCACACCAAATAGCCCTCTTTCCCCTTAAAATTCTCTAAGACTGATACTTTCCAGCACACCACCCCCACAATGGGGTGGGTCACAAGATCTCTGCATCCCGTGGTACTCACCCACACCCACTGCACGGAGAATGCCTCATTCTGGCGCCCTCAGCTCTTCTCTTGTCCCCACCTGGGAGGAAAGCCTGGGTTTGCATGGTGGTGTCCCTGCTCATGGAGAAAGACACACATGCAAGGGACAGCTTGCAGAGGAAAACAAATGCTTCCCCACCAGCCACCCAGCTTCCACATCAACTTCAGCTCAAGATGCTGAACAAGTACAATGGTAGCAAAGTGATCACACCCTATTTATAATGAACTCAGTGAAGCTCTTTAACAAGGGCCCAAACCACAAACCCTCCTCTCTGCCCCATAGGGCTGAGTTTCTCTAAGCCCTGAAGTCCAAGGCCAAAGTCAGTGAGACCCACACAAGTCCTGACTGTGGAAAAACATTGAGTCAATGCAACAGATGGAGCTCTGTTATCCTTTGGAAATCAGTGAACAGTAAATACCCTAAAGCCCACACCAAATCTTTGTGGTCACCAGCGCCAGGGTTTAAGGTCTCAGGAGGCATCCTCCTTGCGATTAAAGAGAGACCAAGTATAAAGGGTGAGCGTAGAAGCAGAGCACCAAACAGGGGTTTGACTCAGGTAATTCCAGTTTTGTGGGCCACCACTGGGGTGATCAAGCAAAAAACCCAAAAAGCAATATATTTGGCCCCACACCACCTTTCAGACTATGGTACCTGACCATTTCTAACTACTGTCTCTCATCTAATAAAAGGATCATTTCTTATTTTATATTCCCTCAAAATACCTCTAACAATCTCTATTTTACCTCCACTGTCCTTATCCAGTTGTGATTTTTATATTTATTTGTTTGGATAATTTTGCCTCTCTTTCCAATCATGACATAAACTAAGTATAGGCCTATGTCCACTTTTTCAGGACCCCAAATCCCACCACCAGCACAGCACTTGATGCATACTAAGTACTTTATATACTCAGGGTTGGCAAACTTTTCTGTAAAAGGCCAGATGGTAAATACCTTAGGATTTATGGGCCATATGGTCTCTATAGCAACCATTTAACTGTGGTTGCAGCACAAAAACAGCCATAAAAAACACATTTTTAAAAAAATGTGTTCCAATAAAACTATTTCTAGAAACAGCACTGGGTCAGATTTGGCCCACAGGCCAAAGTTTGCTAACACCTGCTTTATATTATGTGGTAGAGAGAATAAATCAATCACCAAAACTCTCTCAAGTCTACCTCTCACACATGTCTCAAACACTGCATCTTTTCCAATTACATACACAAGCATCATTAAGACCCAGCTACCATCAGCTAAGAACTGAACGTATCCAAGTTCCTATATACAGACTCTGCCCATTTCAATCTCCATGCTCAATCCAGCAGCTATTTTGTCTAAATCACAAACAAAATCATGTCCCTCTCCTACTTAAAACTCTGATTCAGGGGTTTCCCAATGGCCTTAGAACAAGAACCAAAGCTTACAATGACCTTCAGGAGCCATGTCTTCCTCTCCAAGCTGACTCATCCATTCCACATTTTGTTTTCTCTACTTTGGCTTTCCCATTCTTTCCTAGGAACCTACTAGGCTTTGTACTGACTGAGGGAATGTGTACTTGGAAATGTTTTCTCAAATCCCCTCCCTATTCCTACTCTACAGCCTGATCCCTTATCTAGCTACATACAACTCATCTTTTAGGTTGAAACATTTGTCCCTTTTAAGACATTTTTCCTGACCTCCCCAAATTTTCCTGTTCCAGGTTTCCATATCACCCTTGCCATGATTAATTTAAAATCTGTCTTCCCAGCTAGTATAAAACCTCCACAGAGACAAGCACTGTATCTATTTTGGTGGCATTGTTTCCCCCTGTTCAGCGCCCAGTCCATTCAGGGCACTCCCAACACAAGGTGCCAAACTATCAACACTCCCCAAGAACATAGCAAGCCTAAAGCGGCACATGTCTGCAAGCACACAAAACAATATACCACCACAAAAGTCAATATAAAAATGACTTTAAATGCCTGTTCACATAACACAATCCACAAGAGATTGCAGATGTCTTTAAAGAACGTTAATTCTAAAAAGGCAAGATGAGACATGTATTCTTTTTTAAAACAAACATCTCACTCGTAAAATTGAAATCTGATGTTTAATTTTCCTCCAGAATTAACCTTTCCCCCATTTCTCAGTAGAATGAGCTTTAACCCTATTATTTAAAATTCAATTTTAAAAAAAACATCCCAGTCACAGCCAACTCAACTTCAATTCCCACTACTACAAAAGCTATGTCATGTTTTTCCTTAAGTCCCAAGTGAAGAGAATAGCTTACTTTTCCTCGATAAGACCTGTGACATGACTGAAAAATAGCTTTTAAGACACCCTCACTTTGCAGTGGAGAAGAAAAAAATGTATACGTATTCACAAAGTCATAAATTAAAAGCCTTTTTAGAAGAAAGACAGAAGGAAAAGAAGAGAAATGAAAGGAAAAGGAAAATGCAACAAAAGCTTAGGTCCTAAGTTTAGGAACTGCAAATTGTCACCAAAAATAAATAAACAAAATCTCACCATCTAATTCATCCCTTGACAGAGGATGCAATCCATTTTTAAATCTACTTAACAAGTCATTCAAACCATTTTGTATAGGCAGACTTAGGCCTAACTTTCTTGCACAGCTAGATACTATGAAATGTCACGTTAAATAAAATGGGAATTGCTTATATACAGTTATCTTGCATAAGGGCAATAGGGTAGGGCCCCACAATCTGGGAGGATGGGTGAAGGCTGGGGCTGGCCGGTGTAACCACTCTTGAGATGCAGGACAATGTACTTTGTGATTTCCCTTTCGACAGATTAATGGTCCCCTTTGCCCGGAAGAGGGTTACCTGAGGGCGAGGTACCGGGCCGGAGGAGTTGGGGGAGCAGATGCGAGGCAGAGCTGTGCTCGCCCCATCCTGGCCCCAGGGCGAGGAGGCAACTCGGTCAGGGAAGTTGTCCCAGGCCCCGCGGCCCCTCCGCGCTCTCCGCTCTCCCGCCCTCCCGAGGGGCCAAGGGGCCGGACCGCACCTGCTAAAGACACTCCCACCGCAGCACGCCGCGGGGACCCAGCACCGCCGCCAAACTTCGCAGCCCCGCCGCCGCCGCTGCAGCCCCAGCGCACTTCCGCTTCCGGTCTGGGGCCTCAGGAGCGGAAGTAGTCGGGACCTTGGTTCTCGGAGCCAGAGAAGCTTCAGACAGTGGCTGGAAGTTTGACTCCTTACACGTCCAACCTCCCAGGAGAGGAGAAATTCCAGTTTAATTCCCTGAGGGGGGTGAGATTAGGCTCTGGGGTTGGGTCCGAGGGATCTGGAGAGTGGGGGTAGGGGGCGGGGTCCAGGCCCAATGGACAGGGCTGGGGGCGAGCCTTACGTCCAGTGGGCGGTGATTAGAGCGGGTCCTGTGCTTGGTGGGCGGGACCTCGCTTGCAAGGTGAGGCTCAGTGTTTAGCTTTCCCTTTCTCTGGCCTTCCTCCTTTGGTTTAATCCCCTACAAAAATATATCATAGGTAAAATTTATTTTTCAGCCTTAATAATTTCTTTTAAAAATAGGATCAACGACCTGTCCGGTTTGGCTCAGTGCTTAGAGCGATGGCCTGCAAACTGAAAGGTCTCGGGTTTGATTCCTGATCAAGGGCATGTACCTGGGTTGCAGGTTTAATCCCTGGCCCGACCACATGTGGGAGGCAACCAATTGATGTGTCTCTCTCACACAGATATTTCTCTCTCTCTTTCTCAATCTCTCTCTCTCTCTCTCTCTCTCCCCCTCCCTCCTTCTACTCTAAGAATCAATGTGAAAATATCTTTGGGTGAGGATTAACAAAAAATAAAAATAAATAGTAATAAAATAAAAATAGGATCGAATATAGTCATGCACTGCATAAGGACATTTCAGTCAACAAACCACCTCGTATACTGTGCTGACATGTTTATAACCTCATAATTGATGATTGGTAAATGATTGTGCTAACTTGTTTATAGTTCCATAATTGGTGATTGGGAAAGTCACTGTGTGTCCTCTAGCTGAACCTATTTAGTAAAGAATGTAATCCACAGAATAGAGATCAAAATAACCTCGGTAAATTGGAATACTCCCTGGACCAAGGAATGTCTAAGATATGACCAAGAAACATCAGGAAATATTTAAGATGTGACCAAGAAAGGTCAGGTTCCCAAATTAGCCAGGTTAGCCAACTGCCTAACTGCATATTTTCACTTTCGTATGTGCTTGCTTGCTGTGCTCCATTGCATACCGGAATGTGATTTTAAGCTTGAAAAGGTGTGTGTGTAAGGAGGTCGGGGTTGATTCTGAAGTCTCTATCACAGGGGTGTTCGGGATCAGACGCTGGTCGGTTAATAAACAGCTCTTATTTGGACTTCAGTTTTCTGGTGGTCTTTATTTGACTCTGTCGCACCACAACAATACCATTGTGGTTCCTTAAGATTCTAATAGAGTGTGTGGGGGTGTTGGGAAGAATTAAACCAAAGAACTTATATGCATAAATGTTCAACCAATGGACACAGACAATAGTTTGGAGAAAGTAAGGGGAGTAGGAGGGGGAGGAGGGAGTCAATGGGGGGGAAAAGGAGGGATATCTTTAATACTTTCAACAATAAAGTTTTTTTTAAAGATAATAATGGAGCTGAAAATTTCCTATCCCTTATGACTTAGCAGTCACCTTCATGTTTTATTGCAATGCATTACTCAAATACTTACTATTATGTTACAATTGCCTATAATATTCCGTATAGTAACATGCTGTATAGATTTGTAGCTGTAGGGGAATAGAATTTATAACCCAAGAAAAATGTCTATTTGACATAAGGATTATTTTAGACTAGTTTATTTTAAGAAATTAGATGTGGAAAAAAACTGTGAAAACTAAGCAGAAGTTACCTATTGTAAGAGAAATTTACATTTGTAAGGGAAATCTCCATTTGTAAGAGTGTCTTCCTTCTTATCTCTAGAAAGTCTTATCAATGCAGAAGACAAAGACATAAGATCTGCACAACAACCTTACCCTTCCTTATTTACTATGCTTTTCCTGGTAACCTCCCATAACTGACTCCCCTCACCCCCAATCTGTTATTTTGTCTTTAGCTAAGGATGGTATTTAAGGTGGTGGCTTCAGCCATTTTGGTGACTTACTCAGTCTCCCATGTATATAGGAGGTATACATGTTATTAAACTTTTGTTTGTTTTTCTCATGTTAATCTGTGTTTTAATGCAGAGATTGTAGGGTTGGGGGTTTGGTGGATGAACAAAATGTAACCTTGAGGTATGCATTCTCCCAGCCTGGCCAGCCAAGGACCAAAGTATGCATGAGAATAGATAAGGTATGCATGATAGGGTTGGAAGCTGCCCTGAAAGCACCAGTGGGTTTATGGCCCAAGGGTGAATGTGTTTGTTATATATTTCTGCTGAAAACAGTGAGATACAGATGGAATGGGAAGAAGGCTGGGCGTGGCTGAAAGATCAGCAGAGACATGATTTCAAGGACTTAATTACCTAAAACACCATGTAACCTAGGGAACCACTTTGCAAATAAATTGGGCTGCATCCAGAGATCTGGAGCATTTGCTCCCTTGCAATGCTCCCCCTCACTCCAAGTCAAGTCTGCTTATAATTCATTGCATTGTGACATCCCCCAGCAGGCCAAGAGTGGCCAGAGATGTCTCAGCCAAAAACTCAACAGAGTAGATGGGAAATTATTTCTCCTCCCCTAGAAAGCAATAGGCTACATCATATAGCCTAGGTGTGTAGTAGGCTATATCATGTAGGTTTTTGTAAGTGCATTCTATGATGTCACCTAGGATGTATTTCTCATATCAACATAAGAAACATTCAAACCTATAGAGAATTTTTGTGAGTTTATTTGAGCCAAATTGTCTACAATTGCCGGGAAGAAAAATCTCAACAGATTGAGATAATGTTCCAGAAAATGGCAATTTTGCAAAATGACAGAAAACTTTCCCTAACCTGATGATAGAAAAAAATCACACAAATTCAGGAAACACAACAAGTCCCAAGCAAGCTGAACCCAGCTGGCTAATTTCTTCCATGGCTCACTTCTTCTATCTCTGTGACTTTCTAAATAAATTTTGCTTGTATTTGAGTCTTGGTTCCAAATTCTTTCTTAGTCAAAACTCAGGAACCAATGTCTAACATCTGGTGCTATTCACCACTAACAATAATACATACACTTAGGAAAAGTTCAAATGGGGGTTTCACCACATCCCTAAGTTTTTGTCTCCAAAAACAACCACTGTAACCAGTTCCCGAATAGTGTTTATATATCAAGCACATGAGTAATTATTTCTTCAAATAAATATCTATAGAGCATCATTTGATTGATAAATACTAGCTGCTAAGGTTACAAAGCCCCTTTGCAAGAGTGCTCCAAGTAAAGTTTAGAGGGAAAATAGGAGGAGAGAGATGAGGTTGATCCATTCCAATAAAACTAACTCAATACACTGTTGCATGTGACATATTAACAATTTTTTTAACTGTTGAGTGAAAAATAATATCAACTAGGTATTTCATCACCAAAAAAAATTTATTTTGAAAAAAATAAAAGGGTTGCAACCCCAGTGCATGAAGACATGATGGCAAGCCACATGCACACTCTGGCCTGCATGCCAAGATAGAGGCGTATTTATATCAGGGGAAAGAAAGTTAAGAAAAGGGAATAATTGTACCATAGAACTTTATTATAAACATAGAGTTCTTCCTGTAGAGTTCTTGCAATTATGTAGAATACAAGAACTTCCATAAACCCTAGCTACTCTCTGAGACCCTCTTGACTTACGTCTCTTTAAGTTCCAGTTAGTCTTTCTCAACTGAAAGGAGATATGGATGAGAAATAAAAAATTTGGCATAGTTGTTGAAAGTGTGTCTTAAAGGATGAATATTAAGTCGTGAGGAATGATTAGTATAGTGAGTTGGAGATATTGAAACTTGGGGGTGTAGTGCAAGCAAAAGCACAGAAACTTGGAGGACTTACATGTTGTGAGAACACACTGAATAATGAATTATAACTAAAGATTACAGTGGTGTGTGTGGGTGTGTGGGGGGGGTGTGTGCGTGTGTGTATTATTGTCAAAGGAATAGACAAATAGATCAAAGAAAAAAAAAACTCTCAAAAAACAGACCAGGGCAAATATGGACATCCAGTCAGAATGTGTTAGAGGGAGTATTTCAAGTCAATGGGAAAAGCATTAAGTTGTCAGATCCCTATTTCACATTATTAACAAAAATAAATTCCAGATACGCTGACTCAAATATAAAAAAAATAACTTGAAGATATCAGAAGAAAATCAGGAGTACTCTTAATATATTTTTCTTTGTATTTTTCAAAAGTATACTATTAGTTGCATAGCACAATGTCTAAAAGTCCTGGGTTTGGGTACTTAAATAGCCAGCCTGTGACCTACCTAACTTCAGTGACTCAGTTTCCTAAACTGTTGAATGGGGGCAATAATTAAATTATATTAAGGATTGGATGATATAATGCTTATATGCAAAGCACTTATCATGGTGCCTGATATATAATAAGTGCTCAATAAATATTGGTTATTATAATTTTTATGAAGTCATCTTATATCAATAAAAAATCTCTGCCTCTCCTCCTTAAATTTGTCCTTGAATTTTATTTAGACTGTTTCTAATATTGCCATACCAGTTTCTTGTTGTTGTTGAATATGTCTCTTATTTTCAACCTCTTTGCCATTTTCTCTTAAGTGATATTTTTCATAAACAGTACATGGCTGGATTTTGTTTTTTAACAAAGTCTGAAAGTAATTTTCTTCTAATAGGATAACTTAATCCACTTATATTTAATGTGATTTTTGATATTTAATATATTTCTGCTACTTCATTTTACATTCATCTTATGTTTCCTGTTTATTGTGTTTATTTG